TCTGTACTTTTACTTGAGTACAGTGTTTGAGTACTTTCTCCACTGCACAAAACTTTAAGATCAGGTAAAGATCAACAGGATGCTCTTTGGAAAATCCACAAATGAACAAACAAAAGCAGCAACCTTCCTCTTTATTTTTTGTGTGTGTTGTTGATTTATTATATGAAAATTGGGGCAGTGCCCTCTTTGTTTCTTTGACAGGAAGTAATAGACACATACAGTAGAAAGCAAACTGTGGTCTGATTGTGAACCCCTGCAGATTTCCCCTTGATGTCTGTTTCGACACGCACACATCTGCTGGAGCCTGGGAGGTTTTCTGAATTACATCACSGAGAAACAATTTACAATAGACGTGTATGCCTTTGGGTTTATTTTTTAAATTTGTATTTTCTATTTTTGTTCTGTCCTTGTCTGAATTTTCCTCAYTAAGTAAATCTCCACCAGCTTCTTCCTGCAGGTTTAAACAGAATTGACCTCAGTTTGCAGTGTCGCCGACCTCCGTCTGGTCTGCTTCATTCAGTGTGAATATTAGATGGTGTTGGGTTACTGGTGATGAGGTTAATGGTAAGAATAAAAGATGATTCTGATCCTTACTATGACACTTTTAATAATTATGATTGTGTTTTTTTGATGATGGCCTCAGTGCACCTGRCGTTGTGTAAAAACATAGTCTGCTGCTGGAGGGCTTGTAGGAAATGTTTTAATGTACAATAAATTACTGTAAAAATCATGAARAGTCTTCATCATGGTTTGCATTTCAAGTGTGGCTGAAGGACAGAGTGTTTTAAYAGAAACAAGCAAATTCAWAWTTTTCTTWGATACCAGCTGTGATAACTCTCCTCAGGAGAGAGTCCGTAAAACTGAAAAATAACTTTACAAAACAGAAGGTGATGAGGTGTGAACCGAAGCTCAAACAAGAAGCAAAACGGGTTGAAATGTACAAAGAAAGTATTACAAATCAGCTCCAAGGAAGCAGAGCTAATTTACTAAATTATTTTGAAAGCAACAATGTAGAAAAATAAATGGAGCAAAAACAAATTTATCTACAAAGTTGTAAAAAAAAAACCCCTCAAATCTTTGACAATCGTAACGTTACAGAAAGTTTCTGCTTCTGGTTTTCACCTCTTACAACTTGTAGTAACCAGAGATTAGTTTGCAGTCAGAAAGTAAAAAACTTTGTCAGAGTAACTTGGTATTTTAAACATATTTTGGTTTCTGTCAGTCTTAGTTTAAATCTTATTAAATATAAATTACAACTCTTAAAGCAACTCAACTAAATGTATAAAATGTTTAAAACCCAATGACCTGGCATCATTTGCTTTTACACACAGAATGAAAAGTCATGCCTAAGTTTGAAATTTTACCTGAAGCCTAAATGAYGTTACAACACACACCCAGGAGCAGTTTAAGACCCTCTGTCTTTATTGGACTTTTTGGAACTTTGTACTTAAGAAGCTAAAATTAGATTTTTCTCTCTACTTCTTGGAAGAATGTTTTTTTTTTTCTGCAGAATCATGAATCACYTTTTTTACACAACTCTTTGGACTTTTTGGTGACGGGGAATTATAACAGTTCAGCCCAGTAGTACCAAATACATGAACTAAATTTTCTGGAGCACAGGATGTTCCCAGATCTGATGATGTGAAGGTGAAACACATTGATATTAGAAATAATTCAAAATGGCCGCCACAGTTGACCTATTGTCTGTAGGCTACATCTGTTATTGTAAGAGATGTTGAGCTAAAATTTGGTGCTGTAGCTGAGCAGTGTCTTTAACACATACTTTGAGCACATAACGCAATATCTTTGCTTTGAACTTTGACATCAACCCTGTTAGCAAAAATATCTCATTAACCACTTTTATTTTAATAAAAATTTAGGAAATAATGGAAGCACAACTGACCACCTCAGGAAGTCAACTCAGTTCAACGTGTTTGGCAAAACTTAACATAAGAAAACCTTAAAACATTAACATTTTAAACATGGTCAATATAGCCTTTAGAAAAATGTGTGTTTTGGGAGGTCACTTCCTAATACGTCATTTAGAAAATTCTTACCTCTCACTTTTACTCAAAAGATTCYCATTAACATGAGAAGTACAGGAAACTCAGTCAATTCTGTCATGGGTAGAGTTGCAAAGTAAGAAATAAGAGTAGTTAATTATAAACTTCACAAATAACTATTTTTCAGCTGACTTTTTACTTCTACTCCTTCCATTTTCACACAATTATCTGTACTTTCTATAACTTACACAAAAAAATGTAACGAATAGAAGTCGTTATTTTATTCTGGCCTGTTATTGTTACAAAAATAATTAGAAAAACTATCCAGTTAAATGGCACCTCCTAAATAGAGTGAATTTAACTGTGGTTCGATTAGAAATACAAATTRATACCATTCTGACATCTAATTATTTTGTACGATCCATCACACCTGAATATGACGCTAATCACGTGACACTCCAGCAGAATATAGCAGATGTGTGTTCCTCCTGTGAAGATGACTGTGGCAGAGATATATATGCAGCTGAAACAGGTGAGGTAAGTGCATCTATAAATGTCATTTTAAAAATTCTAACCGCTCGTTTTTATTAAATATTTGTGTGTTTTTATATCAAAATTTTACTTTTGATACAGTACATGTCAGCTAGTTCAAGATGTTTACTCAAGTACTATTCTTAGAGGACAGTGTAACTTTTACCAAAGTAATTTTATGGTAAGATACTTGTACTTTCACTCAAATATCACTTTGACATGAATGACGATGGAAGATGCCTTCACAAGGAATGCTAGGCCTTTATTTTGTAGGATCTTAGGCTTTCAAAAGCCACTTCAGTAAATCAATACCAGCTTTTATAACGATTGAAATACTTTGAATGTAACAGTCATCAGTCATAAGTCTGTGAAAGCTAATCACTGTGAAAACAAGAACATTAGCTGAAAGAAAATCCCAAAAATGAAACATACGAGAGGAGGACTTTGTCTCTGCTTGTTGATGCTCGACTCAGATCAGAGAGCTTCATGCCACATATTTTAGCTCAGAGAGATGAACCAAACTCCCAGTTCTGCTAAGCTGCTCAGCTGGGAGGTGGGAAACTGTTCAGATTTTTTTGTTTTTCCATTACTCAGTTATTGGCGATGGTCGCAGGCTCAGGCGTGTAACATAATGAGTGGAGGAGACATCCTCCAGAGTTCAGTGTCGTCTCGCTGCTGCCAACAAGTCTCATTCATTTACCATCTGAGCGCGTGGACCGCAGAAGAAACAGTCTGGGAATTCAAAATTGTGACAGAAAGTTGATATCTGAGTCGAGCGTTGCATCAAAAACCCAGAGAGTTCTTTTATTTCCACATTTGTAACCGTTCCCTGTTGCTTTATTATTTCACACATCAAAGATATTGAGTCGTGTTGCATCATGGTTACAGCTGTTCCCACAAAGGTTTGAAACAAAGTGCCATTTGTCCGGGGCACAGCCTCACATTTTCAATCTGAGTACTTCTCTGTCCTGGGATTTTACCAGAGGAGAATGTGGCCTGTCTTGTAAAAGATGTTTTAGACCTGAGGGGAACGTGTCCATTAAAGAGTCACAGAACTTCCCTTTCTATCTGATTCCAGTCTGCTCGGCCCTCCCGAGGCAAGACTGGCATGTTTCTAATCTTCGCAAGAAATCAAAAGAAAGAATAAAACTAAAAGGTAGCCTCGCTTTTTGAATAAAAACTTCATTTTTTATTGTGGCGCATGTTTCCACTGTAGAGATAAAATCAGCAGACATGAGGCCGACCAATCRCCCGGTGAGTCACTCATTAATCATTCAAATATGTTGTAACACAATAAAGACTGATCTGTTTTAGTTGTTTCARTTGTTGTCTTAAAGCTGTAGCTGYTTTTGGTTATTATTGGGACAAAACAAGCATTTTAAAGACATTGATTTTKGCTGAACAATTCATGCGTTATAAGTTTAAAGGAATAGTTCAGATATTTTTATGGGAAAATTACATCGGTTAAAGCCTTACCTGTTGGAGTTAGATCTTTTAATAACCTCTGTTTGGAGAAATAGAGTTAATTTAGACTGAAACAATAAACAAAGGGTTGGTCTGAACGGGGCCACAGTCAAAGTGGGTAACTGCTGTTCTAAAATTACTCTTTCAGTTGCAGTACAGACCACTGAGGTCATTTGGAACTAGCCTGATATGTAGGCTATCACGTACAAACCTGATACTGGTACACATGTATACCTAAGTACTAAGAAGTTACCAAGTAAGTACCAGATTCAAGTACTCACCTGGTATTTACCAAATACATACAGTACTCAG